CTCCGGGGCCCCGCGTTAGCACCTTGCTGTCAGGCGCCGGGCCCGAGTTCGCTGAGCGCCCCGAGGTGGCCCGCAGGGACAGCGCCCCAGCCGAGGGCCGGCCGGCCAAGAGCGACGTGCCCATCCAGCTACTCAGCGCCACCAACCAGATCCAGAGGCAGGCGGCCGTGCAGCAGCAGATCCCCACCAAGCTGGCCGCCTCCACCAAGGGCGGCAAGGACAAGGGCAGCAAGAGCCGGGGCTCCCAGCGCTGGGAGAGCGCAGGTGAGTCAGGGCCTCCTGCAGCACCCCTGCCTTGCTGGGTGCCCGCCCGGCCGGGAGCCTCTGGAGGGGCACCGGAAGGAAACCCGGAGGCAAGGCTGGTGATGGAGCTGAGGCTGCCTTCCCCACACGCCACGCCCCACGTGGACGTCTCTCATCTCAAGAAGCAAAACTGAAATATCAAACCCTGGCTCCTTTTCCCGCCTTGGCCCTCAAACCAGGATCAGGGACAAGGGAGCATCTTAGTGATTCAGAAAGGGCCCTTGGAAGCCCCTGGGGAGTCCAGCACCACGGGCGGGGAGGGCGGCACCATGGGCAGGGAGTCACAGCGGCCCACGCCGGTGCTCCCCCACTGAGCCCGCCCTGCGCCGGTCCAGCTGCCGCGGTTCTGCCAGTGTCCTCACTCCACGGAGGTACGCTCGGCCCTCGCCCCAAAGCACCCTGCAGCAAATGGTCCCCTATAGGGAAGGCCCCGGGGAGCCTCCCTGGGACGCTCTGGGGAGCAGGGTCAAGAGACCTCCCATCTAAAGGTTGAATGACCCCAGTGGCCTCTGTGGTCGGACATGGGCTGTTCTCCCTGTTTTTAGCCACTGAATTTGGGGCTTAGTGTCTGAGTGGGACCCATCTCTGGGAACGGGCCCTGGGGGTGTGTTGAGGAGTGAGGGAGGTCCCTCGCCAAGGTGGTGGCCCCTCCTGGGCCAGGAGCCAGGCCCAGCACCCCAGGCTGCACCTTCCTCCCTCTACCAGCCTCGTTTGACCTGAAGCAGCCGCTGCTTCTCAACAAGCTCATGGGCAGAGAGGAGAACACCTCTCGGAGCCGCCGCTCACTGAGTCCCGTCCTGGCCGCTGCCACGCCCCCCCCAGGTGAGCCAGCACCCCCCTCCCCCGCAGCAGGGCCACCCACGGGGCCTGGCAACTGCTGACACCCATAGCCCCCTCTCTTTCTTGCAGACCCCTGCCTCCCAGCCCCAAGCCCGGCGCCGGCTGAGGTCCCCGCTGAGTCCTCCCCCAAGGCCTGGGGGGCATCCCTGCCACCCATAGCCCTGCCCTCCACACCACTTGACAAGGAAGAAGCCAGCAAGGAGGACGTCATCTTCTTCTAGGGGGCGTGGCCCGAGGTGCAGGCCCCTCCCTGTGCTGCCCTCCCACCGTGCTCTCTGGGACCCGCCCCACTGTCTCTCTCCCCTTCCCAAACAGGCCTCCACCCACGACCACCTGGCCAGGGCGTGGCAGGGCTGGTCTGAGGCTCTCTCTGTAGGATTAGCAGTGGTGCCTGGGCAACTTTGTAAACCTATTTTTTTATACAAAAAGGAAAGTTTTTAATCGAAGGTTGAACCAGAGCTAACCCAAGAGCTGTGAGTGCAGCACCCCGTTTGGGTGGGGGGGAGATCAACTGCAGGCTGTCCTTCCACAGGAGTGACCGATGGTGGTGGGTCCGCGAGGAGCATGGTGACAGGCCAGGCCCGTGGCCTGAGGAGGTGCTGACTCCGGGCTAGGCTCCACAGCCACCAGAAGGCACTGGTGGCGCCGGAAGGGCCTAGTGGTATCAGCTCTGTCCACAGAATCAGGCAGAACTGACTTCCACAGCAGAGGTCTGCATGTGTTCATGGTGGGCCTCAAGGCCAGGACAGGAGCCCAGACAAGGGGCGGCACACAGCTCCCCCGGGACAGAGGGCCACAGGGCAGGGCAGCCGGAGAGGTTGGCCGGCAGTGTGCTCGGCAGGCTCTGTAGGTGCACAAGGTCGTCCTGGAAGGGCCTGACCGTCACTCGTTTTTATTTGGTGGAGGTTTTTAAAACCTGCTGTTGTCAAACTTGGTGCTTTCCCGAGGCGCCGCACCAAGGCGGCATGGTTCTGTGGGCCTCTTGGACACCAGGCACCCAGGAAGCCAAGACCAGAGCTTCAGCCAGGGCTGGCACACACCCAAGGGTCCCAGCCCAGGCAGAGGGGCCTGAGTCCCTGTGAGACAGGCCAGTTGTCCCAGGGCTGCCAGGGGGAACTCCCAGGCTCATATCCCCAGCCAAGGGGCAGGTGCTGGGGCCATGCAGAGCAGTGGGGTGAAACGCTAGAGTGATCACACGTGGCCTAGGTTGGTGACTTTTGCCAGCGAGTGGACAGATGGCCACCTGGCAGGCACCTCCACGTCTAGTGAGCTGTCATAGCTCATGGTCAACTTCCCCTGGAGGAGGGCGAGGGCCACCAGTCCAGCCTCTCGGCCATAGGTGTTGGAGATGCTGTCACATGTCCAGGAACAGTCCGGCGGTGGCAAGAGGTCAGATTCCTGTACCAGCTCTGGCCACACTCAAGCTTGGGTGCCGGGGGTAGGGGTGTCCCAGCCTTCTCCTCTACCCCTGACTCCCTCATGGAACCCAGAGTCTTCTGAAGCCACGGAACTTCCCAAAGCATTGGTGGAAGACTGGGTCCTAGGTGGAGCAGGAGCCTGGGCCCAGCAGGGGTGAGGCAACACGGCCAGCTGGTGACAAGGAACTGGCAGCAGGTCCGGACCTCTCCCGAGCCCGGTAACTGCCCTGGCGTCTTCAGCTCCTCTGAGAACCTCCCCAGCCTCACCCTTGCCTGCGGGCCCGCAGCACCAGCAAGGAGCCAGGAGCAGCATCGCCCCCCACGACACGAGCGAGCTCCTCCGTGCCACACCGACAGTCAGTGTTTGTTTTGTACTGAGACGCATTGGAGCACTTTAGAAAAGTTGACTTTTAGTTCCTGTCCTATTGTGAAGAGGACGTTCCTGGGCCACGTGGCCCCACCCACGGGCTCCATCTGACCCTCCGAGAGGATTCCTTGGGCGATAAGGAGTTCAAGGAGGTTTCTGACTAGTGCCAGCGGCCGGGCAGCACCGTGGGCGCATCCCTCCCCGTACTGCAAGGTCACTCCTGGGTCGAGCCCAGTGTTACCTGTAAAGTTGGTGGTTGAGCAAATGTTCTGATTTCTGTGGGATCTGTGCACGTCTTTGTTAATTGTGACCAAGATCTTAGTCCACCCGACAATTATTTCTACAATGATCGCAGCGTTTCCTCACTGCAGGGTATTTCAGAACCACCCTAGAACTTAAGACCTGATTCTAGCAATAAAAGTGTCTGAGATGAGCTGACCGGGGTGGCTGTTCTTTGGGGTCTAGTTTTAGGATAATCTGTCCAAACGTTGGTGCTGTAGTGGTGCATTCTGGCAGGGGCCCCCTCAGGCCCTCTGCTGCAGGAGGACCCTGGGAAGGCCTGGACACCAGGCTGTGATGTCCCATCCCTCCTGGCTGGCCCCAGGACACCACAGCAGCCGCCTCAGCTGCTGTCACCTCTCCTGCTGAGGGCAGGCATCAGGCCCGTGCACCACTCCCCCTGCCTGGAGGCTGGGACACCTCCCAGGCAAGTGACACAGCCCCCCCAGCCCTGCTTGGCACCAGCTCAGACCAGTGATTAGATCAGCCGCACAGAGAGCCTAGGCCAGGCCGCCCCCTCTGGTTCTCTGCAAAGCCCCAGACAGTGATGGCATCTGGACATTCAAGGTTGGAGGCAGTGGCAGTGCCAAGGTGGCCTCGGTAGCCCCTAGCAGCCTCCCAAATGAGGCCAAGGTGCAGAGAATGCCGCCGAGTCCTCCTGCCCTGGCTGGGTCCCCTCCCATTTAGGCCCATCCCTGTCCTGGGATGTCAGCCTCCTCACAAGGTGTGGCCCTGCTGGGTTCCGGGCACTCCGGGGCCGCCAGCTTCGCTGCTCATTGACAGAGCTGTTTGCCACAGATGCGCTCTGCGCGTCCTGCTTAACAGCTGGAGATCCTTCACGGCCCAGTCCCTCGAACTGGCTTGCTTGCTTCACCCCAACCTGATGGCCAGCCCCGGGAAGGGCCCTGGGCAGGGGCTGTGGCGCACTCCAGGCAGAGCCAGCTCTGGCTGCACCGCCCAGCCCTCCTGGCCGTGCCCGAGGCTGCGCCCAGCCCTACTGCCCAGGCCCGTGGGGACGCCAGCCTTTGGGGGCACCTGTGACACATCCAGGTGTTCATGTGGCTCCCTGATAAACACGCTGTCTTACAGGTGTTAACTCACTCAGTGTCCAGACAGGCAGGCAGGTGCTGCTCCCACCCCTACACTAATCTTGCAGGTGCCCCTGGGCGCTGGGAGGGGGGTCTCTGCTGAGGCAAAGCATGCCCCCCTTTACAGGAGGGGAGAGGGAGGCTCGCCAGGCCCGGCACCTCCAGAGGGCCCCCAGGTGGAAGGGCAGGGGGGCTCCGGCCAGGGGGGTCTCCTGCACCCCATGCCACCTGAGCAGCCCTC